TTTTATCCTCTGATTGGAATTTTCTGCTTCATGGCCGATATAAGGAAGAAATATGACCTACAGGTGTCCTCTTTTAATTAGAATAGTAAAGTCAGCGCGATTCGAAAAGAAGTTGCTAAGGTTATAACCTTAAATACAAACCTAGGTTTGTAGGAACCATGGACAATATTTTACCAAACGCATCCCTCCATTATTGGAGTTAAAAGTTTTTCTGACACTTTAGCATTTTATTTTGTGGGTATTGAATGAAACTAAGTCATTACGATCGGCTACGTAACGCTCATTCGGGTAAAGTCGGCTCAGATCGAATAATATTTACATTCAGGTTAAAATATAACAGAAATTAAAAATCAGATCTGCATACTGGAAGCAAGGAAACTTTCAGCATTTCATTCTCCTTCTAAGCAGATATTATTTAAAAGTCTATATTTTACTATGCTACTATGACACTATGTTAGAGATACAAAAAGGGGAAAATATTGCGCAAAAAAAAATATATATATATTTTTTTTATTTCACTGTTTTGAGCATTTGCCTTAAAATATCTCAAAATTTATTCTTGGTCAATTAAAAAAAACTATCTGTAGAAGTGAATATAGATATTTTTTTTAATATACGTACAAATAAGTAATGAAGTGTTTCTATTTGGTTTTCTGTTGCAATTGATAGTGTTTCGAATATAATCATTAAAATAGTTAACAAAAAATAGTTGATGCACAATTATAATTGTATATTTTGTAAATATTATTAGTTTACGAATATACAAGAGAAAAAATATATATTTAATTTTTTAATCCCACGTTGTTGAGGTTTTCACTTGTATCGTGTGATCTAAGCATACATCGCAGTTTATGTCTTTGTGTTTATTTCTCAAGTTTATGTCTTTTATACATTCCGATTTCCACAAATACTCCAGTCAATGAATGATCGAAAAAGGGGTATAGAAGGAAATGGCAGGGACCCAATTTTTGACTTTGGGACATTGTTTGGACTAGTAAGGATGTAAATATATTAAAAGTCCCCACTCATAGGTGGTGAGCCAATTCCTCATGTTTATTGCTTTATTTCGGGCTTTCACATATATTAGGGAAAACTATCCGTCGCATAGACAAAGACCGTCTTTACAAAATTAAAGCTAAAAAAATTTGCAATTTGATTGATTAAATCCCTTTTTTTTTTTGCTATCGCTTAGTTTCCGAGATATCCGTCCTCAACTAACGCTAATTTCGAAAAAAATTTACCTAATGGTTTTACTGTATTTGACTAGCTAACACTGTATTGCTTTCTACGATTCTTAAAACAAAATTATTATTTTATGAGTTTATCTTTAACAGTTCAAAAGTTAGATCAATTATACATGTCAATTTCGAGAATTTGCAAGAAAAATAAAAGGTTATTATATTGCTCTAACTCTTTATAAATCTAAATCTCTATTTATATATATATACTTATGCATACATACAATGACGGATATTATATGATTCATTGATTTTCTACTTATTCTTGGAATCGACATGTAAATTTATATTTTGAACCGTTGACGATAAACTAATAAAATAATATATATTCTTTAAGAAAATTTGATTATTAAAAACT